CTGGCGATAAGTGACGGGACCTTATTCTTCAATTAATTTCGATTTTGTTGATTTTCTCCTGACAACTGCAATCTGAGGATATAAATCACTGAAGTATCCGATCGCCGGGATGCGTCGCGGATATAAAAGTCGCGTTGAATAGAAACATGGTCGGTCGTCTATCGGGTCTCGTCCAGTGGACAGTTCGTGCGGCAAAAACTGATTGTTCTGCGCACGCCCGTGTGACACGGCGTCTTTTTAACGCCAAAGTAATCCTAATATTGAATTACTAATTAGCAACGTAATCGGGATACGCGTACGTCATGACTCAGAGTTTCTGCTGCAGTCAAACATATAATTCGCACGAACCATGTATTCCCGCAACTGTTGTATCATGTAAGGCTGCAATCAGACTATTCAGGGCTGCCATAAGTCAGGGAAATGTCAGAGAATTGAAAAAAAAAATGCGTCAGGGAAGTCAGGAAAAGTCGGAGATTTAGCACACTTGTCAGGGAAAATGAAATAGCTGTAAATAAATTTATATTTATTGCCTTGTGCTTCTATGATTGGTTTGGACTACCTTTTTTTTTTTGGAATTCGTTTCTTGAAAAAAAAGAAACACTGCAATAATAAATAAATAAATAAGGTAAAGGACTCTATTATAAAATATAAATTAATAGACTAAAAAGACAAATTAAGAGTCAAATATTAAAATTTCTTTAATCGCGTAGAGTCAAGAAATAAAATAATATAAAAGCGACAATAATTTCGAAGATATAAAAAAAATATATAAATATACCTATATAACAAGAATAGACTTTTACAAAATATTGCAAAACATTGCAAAATATGTATTATTCAAAGTCAGGAAAAATCTCAAAGTTTTGTCAGTAAATCAGGGAAGTGTCAGGAAATTTTACGATTAAAAATTCGTGGCAATCCTGCTATCTTAAAAATTGAAATTTCACCAATGGACAAAGGAATTTTAGCTCCTACTATTTTGATTGGTTTTAATCTTTCAATCTTCAATGCGTAGCCTGATTCCGGCCTAAAAATCTGGAATTTATGCACCGTTGAATCTATCGTGTTAAATTTAACCTAATTTAAGTTGCCATTGCTTACACTCAATGTATCGTCAATTTATACTAAAATAATAATGCCTAAATTGGTTAAATTTGATTATAATGCCAAATTCAACCATTGTTTTAGTATAAAGTAACGATATATCGAGTAGCAATTTAAATGTAAAATTTAACATTTACAGATTTCACAGCGTACTTTAATCAAATTGTAATTACTGAAAGCATTGGGAACAAATAAAAAATCGAGAAAATGTTTTATCAAATTCTCTCAGTTTTTTTCGTTGAATAAACTCAGTTATAGGCGGTATACACAGCTTTATTTTAGGCGTGTGCTGCACGTGACATCGACACATTGTTATCGCGCGCGATTGACGGGACGGACGATAAATTCCGTTATCACTCGCTCGCGGCCGAGCTGGGCCTATCGACCTGTCGTTTTCTTTTTTCTGGCGCGATAGATTTTTCGCCCCAGTTGAAGCGTGCCGTAAATTAATACGACATGCGACGCGCAGACGAGGGTGTGTCACTTCATGGACGAGTGGCCCCGTTCGATTAAACGCGAGCTCGCGTCATGAGTTTCGATTCTATTCGAGCTCTTCCTGCTTCAGCGAGGAGCAGAGAGAAAGCAGCGTTCGCGGCACGTATTGTCGTATAAACCGGAAATGTTGAGTCTAACACGTACAATCTGTTTAAAGAATTTTTTTTTGAGGAATTATTTTCGCTTCGTGCCCGTTTAACTGTTTTGTATTGTCGTGTCGCTATGTAATTGTAAAATTGCTATTTCTCGCTACTATACGCGGACATTGTCTGGCGGGTTCTGTAAGAGTCTCGGAAGTGTCATTTCTGAAGCAGAAGACCTCGACAATTCCTCACAAAAAGCGGATGCGTTTAGCTTGGCCTGCCTACGTGCAAGGATTCTGTCGACTTTAACTCTCATGCGACGATCCGGTGACGTCAAACGTATGAAGAGAGCTGTGATGTCATCGTATATTTTTAAGGCACAGGAGATCTATGGTCTTCACCTCCCGGCTTTGTGATGTCATGCGCGTTTCCATCTTTTTCAGCCGTTGATTTATTTAAATGCTAGCGGCATTTATTTTCGTTTCATTGAATTCGCGTGAAATTCTCATGAAGTGAAATTGTTACCTAAGAGAACACATTTCGCGCGTGATTTATGCTGGAGTATGACTTGACATTTGCAACATGAACGAAAAGGAGAGTTTTAATGCAACGGAAGCGTTAAAATTTATGAAAATTCGGAAAGAAATTCCTCAATTTATATCAGTCGTAATTATTTTTTGCAAATTAAATTTTCGCTTTCTATATTGAAATCGATATTACATCCAAAAATAGAATACAGGAGACGTACTTAGTTAAAGGCTTAATTCTTTTCAGTGTCTTAATTTCATTTTATTAATTACTCCGGAAACACAGTTGTTCTTTTCGACAGATAAAAATTGACCGCGTTCCCGGCATCCGCTGCGGAATTCGCGGTTGACGAGCAATTAGTACATCGCACTCTCTACATTCGCACGAGAATGAAAAAATTCCGTTTCGCGCCGACGACAGGACCGAATAGAGAGAGATGCATGTGCAGGATTCCTGCATACTTTCTTTTTTCCATGCACACATCATTAAAGTCGAAATAAGCGCGGCCTTTCCACGAAACAGCTGGACTCGGTGCGGCAAACAGAAGTAGATTATTAGTTCTGCCATTCTAAATATTGATTGTGCCATGAGCGAACATATCGCTCCCTTTGCGCATCTCATGTGATCCGGCCACGCGCGTAACGGTACTTGTACAGATACATATGCTATAATTTATCGTGGAGCGCGTTCAAAACAACCGATAACTCAATAAAGGCGTCACATTCATCGCGCCTCCTCATAGTTTAATCGTCGAACGATCGAGCTGGGTAAGCACTCGTTTCCAGCATGGGGTTTTTCATTCATATACGCTCGTCAAAACACGCGGTCATTTTTTTCTCCCTTTTATTTAATTATTCTTGTGACACGTGAACTTCCGCAACGCACGGGATGACGGAAGCGAGAACATTCAGTTCACCGCGTAACAATTTATATGTAATAAGATCGTGCAAATTTACGTCGCTGTGGCAGAATAAATTATGTTGCTCGTATTCGGTTGAAACGTTCATTAATCATTATTCACGTAATGAAACAATGAAGAATAGTGTAACGATAACGTAATGAAGAAAACGTGTTACGTGCGGACGCGAAGTGCCCCGATTAGGTTCCGAAATCAAACGACTAATGAATAATGCATCCACGTTATTCGTACGTACATACATATTCGTGTCGAAACACATCGTGTTCATGTTTGACGTGTTAGCTTCGATCGATCGCGATATTAATTCGCGACGCGTACAAATCGCAATGACAAAGTCGTTCACGTGGCAGGTGTAAAAAAAAATTGTTTTAGTAAATTAATTGCTGTAAAAAAAAAAGAGAGAGGAAAATGCGAAGAATCTTTTTAGCAGCATCTAATGATTATTATTAGTACAAATTAGTTCGGTCCGTTTTTTGTGTTCAAAAATGCATTTGCTTCAAAACAAAATTAATGAACAGATCAATTAAAGTATTGTCCATCGCTGGCTACTACTTTTTCTCAACTCTCAGGCAATTTTCGAATTCAGTCTCGAAAAAATGACTCGTCCTCGGAGGCGATCATCTTTTGGAAAATGGACCGAACTAATTTGTTACTCCCAATAAAAAGAATATAAGATAGAAAAAAATATATACGTGAGTACAGACCTTTTTATGTGTTTAAAGTTGTAAAGTCGATTTAAGAATTTTCATTTAATGTCCATAAGTAAATTAAATCTAATGATGTATAAATATAATAAATATATTGCTCTTTTTTGCTACTTAAGTTTATTAAGTTGTGTATACAGCAGATGAGGGATATTAACAATTAATAAGTAATGATTTGATTAGTTATTTTTAAATGTTTCTCATTTAAAAAAAGAATTTAAAGTCTAAATTTTCATTTCAAAATGACTTCAAGAGTTTACTATCACGTGCAGTCTGAGATAATTCAACTGTCCTTAATCTGCCATTTAGCTTTACGATCAAAGCTATCTCAGATCCGAACATCGGTTTGTTGAGACTCGGATTATTCTGGATCTAAAACTGTTCTGATGGAAAACTCTATTATAAAACGCGCGGATAATCCTTCGGAACGCGAGCATCATAATGCATCCTTTCAGCTGACGACAGGTGCATTACGTAACTGCTAAAAGTTAACGTACGCTCCATAGAGAGCGGATGGCCACCACGTGGAGTGGGAGATACAGATACGAGTCGCCATTGTTGACGTAAACACACTCAAAGAAATATCGAATGATCGGCACGCACGAGAAGGTGCATGACTCATACGGTGTCTTCTCGTTATTTTTAGCTGACGTCCTCGTGTATACTTGTCTACACTTGAAAAGGTTCACACCGTTAACAATATTTTAACACGTCCGCCCAACAAGTTTTATTTATCTGATCATGCATGTAGGATAAGATTTTTATTATAAGTATGTATAATATACATATATAATGACAAAATTTCACTGTAAAACTATATTCTCGTAAATATTGTATTTTTTATACTTTACTTTATTATTTATTTAAATTATTTAAAATTTAGAGATGATATTTATTCTTTATAAATTATATTTTATAAATAAATAGATTTCTAATACTATAAAATGTGTCGAAACACACACACCATATGTTTTTTAATGAGATAATGTTTTGCAAAATAACAGCTATTTAATTATTCTTAATTATTTCGTTATAAAACGGTGGAAATTTCGTTATGCTCGCGAATCAATTACGATATTAAATGTCGAATAGATTACGAGTTTGGAATGGGAAGTTAATAATCCGTGATAAAGCATTTTATAAAAGGAAAACGCTCTCTTGTTTCAGGTAAAACGTTTTGTCAGTCTTGTAAGAAGAAGTGCAGTGGGGAAGTACTGCGGGTGCAGGATAAATACTTTCACATAGGGTGTTTCAAGTGTGCTCAGTGCAACGCCAGCTTGGCACAGGGTGGCTTCTTTGCACGTGAGGGTTCTTATTATTGCACTAAGGTGAGTCACATTTTATCTTTAATATTATTATATAAGAGATTTTTTTTAATGTAATGAGAAAGTCTTGTTAGAGGAAAAATGAAGAATTTAATACGTTTTTGTTATTCTGTTTATTAGGACTATCGAGAGCGTTGGGGTACACGTTGTGCTGGTTGCGGGGAGTATGTGGAGGGTGATGTGGTGACAGCTGGCGAGAAGCATGCATTTCATCCAAATTGTTTCCATTGCCAAAGATGTCGGCAACCGTTGCTGGGACAGGGAACAAAAGTGTCCCTTGTTCAAGGTACGCGTTGATGAAACAATTATTTACGATTCATTGAGGATTAAATTGAGGCAGAATTCCATCTACACAGCTTTGTTCAGCTCATACTGATTGTTGACATAACACGACATTCCTTACACGAAAATACCGACAAACGCACGAAAGATTCACTAATTGAAATTGCCAACAATTTCTATCAATTGCGGATCACGATGCGTACTGAATTATTGCGTAACCAAAGTGTCTCTTTGGTGCAGCTTTCACAATTAGCGTAGTAGTCAATCTGTTAGAGCAAATTGCCACTTGGGCTTATCGTTACTCCACCGTTACAAGGCCGCGCGTCTACTATATACATACGTATGTCCTTGTGACAATTATGCGGCCAAAGGTAAAAATCCGGCATGACGTGCATCCCTTTACTGTGTACTATAACGGTGCGACTCACTCATTTCTAAGAAATTAAGGCCGATTGAACGTTATGAATAAATTGCGCTGGATTTCACATCCAGTCCCTCATCAAGAAAATGGTTTTAAAAAAATGAAAGTGAATTCCGTCCGTATAATTTACGAAATGCTAATTGAAATAATTCATTATAGATAATTAAAGAAAATGTTATTTTTATCAGCTTTTATCCATATCAAATACATTCTATATTTTTTCGAACCGAATTATTTTGAATTTTTATTTTAATTATTTCTATTAATAAAGTAATAATATCAAATGTTGTATAATTTTTGTAATACAGTCAACATAGTAGAACTAAATGATCTCGAAGCAGTTTTTGCAAGTGAAAATATTGCAATAATAAATGAAACTGAATAACAATTTCACAAAACACAGACAATTGGACACGCAGTACAAAGGTTAATGATAACGTTACCGGGTCTCATTAATCTTTATTAATTATACATTATTCGTAGGTCAAGCGTTGTGTCACCGATGTGTCGGTATCCCGGTTCGCGAGGCCTCCACGCCGATTGGCAATAGCGCCGGTACCAAAGGTGGCGGACACGCTGACCCTGGTGCTTGCGCCGGTTGTGGAAACCAATTGAGGGAAGGTCAGGCATTGGTCGCACTCGATCGTCAATGGCATGTCTGGTGCTTTAAATGTCATAGCTGCGATACTGTGCTCCACGGCGAATATATGGGAAAGTGAGTTACGCATTGATCCAAATCTATTCCTTGCATCTTAATTATCTACAGGAATATTAATCAGGAGACGCGTGTGAAATAGGTATATTTTTTATTAGTACATCTGTTTCACGAAAGAGACACTATACCGGCTTCCCTTACACAGGAGAATATTATTATAGCTTTAGAAATAAAATGTTCCTTTTAAATAAATTGATGTTATCGACAAATGCAAATATTGGAGAAAATTATATTATATATTGCTCTAAAAATGTGATAGCTTCTTTATGATCTTAGGATTGAAATTCGATAGTTATAGGGTTGGAAAAATATAAAATTTTTTTTAGAGAAAATAAAATTCTTCAACAAATATTTAATAAATGCAGTTTTTAAATTTATTTATTAAATAAAAAAATCTTTTCAGACTAACATAAGAATGGATGAAAAAGATGGGATTTAAATTTTAAATGACGCGTGAACCGTAACCATTGAATTTTTTTCCGACAGAGACGGCGTGCCTTACTGCGAGAAGGATTACCAAAAGCAATTTGGAGTAAAGTGCGCCTATTGCAACCGTTATATTAGCGGCAAGGTCTTGCAGGCCGGCGACAACCATCATTTCCATCCAACCTGTGCGCGCTGCACGAAATGTGGCGATCCGTTCGGCGATGGAGAGGAAATGTATCTGCAGGGTGCTGCCATATGGCACCCACGCTGCGGCCCAGGACCTACCGGACCCAATGGCATCGTAAACGGACACGGCGACGCTCATACACCGCAGCATCGGGAATCGGAGCGAATTTCCAGCAGCGCTTCAGAGATGCAGGTAAGTCCGGTTGCGTTCTCGCGTTCGGTGTGATTCGCTGTTTAGTCGTATTTATTCTGTACATTCATGTATTTATAATTAATTTAAGCTATTGCAGAAGCTTGTTTATTTTTACTCAATTTAACTACGAAAATTCTAACGAAGCAATTGTAACATCTTGATGTTTAATTGTTTTACTAGGTATATTTCCGTACATAATCATCGATTATTATCGAATTAACATATCTAAAAAGATAACATTTTATTTTATTTCACGTTATATTCTTGTTACGTTTGATTTGCTTATTGTGAATAAAGCTGTATACACGACGTTTGTATTTTATATAACATTACAGCAATTATTGGATTCATATAAGATAATTGTATGTAACAACAAAAGAAGCAAGCTTTCATTTTATGGACTAATGCGAAGGATAATTTACATTAATGGAGGTCATTTGTGTCTTAAAACAAATCATATGCGCGTATAATATTGTCTATGTACAGGCCATTTTTAAATAATTGCATCTTTTAAATGATAGATTTACACAAATCACTAAGAACGACAACGTTTGAAAAAATATCAAGGATTAAGATATCAGGGTACAATTTAAATAATGGATAATTTAAATAAAACAATATATTTTTTTAGTATCGATGATATATTATATTTAGCGACAGAAATACGTGATCGTTAAAGCGACACTTACATATATCAAACGGTGAATAGAAATAGCATTGCGTTCCAGAGCGTTCTAAAATAATACATCGTGTCTAATTTTGTTTCCTTCCTGATCCAAAGAGTATAGAACAAACTCTACTATAACTCTATATTCTTTTTAAACTATTTTTCAAACGTAACTGTTCTGTGTTATTTATGTAAAATCCATCGCATTTGAGAAAGGTTTATTCGAAAAATTAAAAGAATTACAGTGAATTAAATATATACCATTTTTTAAATGAAGGGGTCAAGAGTTCAACATCGTATGATTCAATAGTTAAATTCAATAATATTTTGATGGTTTTAAGTATTATTAGAAATTGTGTAATATCTATGTTATGTTAGAAAATAAAAGAAATGCATGCTGCTGTTTATGTCTAGCACTTGCATTATTCGACTTAGCTGCATTACATATATTAAGTATTCGTCTGCATAATTAAATTTATCAATTGTATTATAAAGAAAGCGAAGTGTTTCACATATGTTAAATATTTCCCTGAAAGTTGCTCTATGATTTTCTATTATCGTAATATGTAATATATGAATATATAATATACGAGACTGAATGTAACATATGAGACTCTCTGTATTAAAAATTTGTATTTCAAATCTTATAGACCCTTTCACGAAACACTTTGTCATTCGACGTATATTCTTGTATGTTTTTAGTATAGTAGTCTATATAGCAACAATACAGAACTGAACACCTCGAATCCAATAAACATTAATTGTTTCGTCAGCTTTGTGTATAGCTTGATTTTTGCCTCAGAGAATCAGCTGGCTTGTCACTTTACCGTTCTTTCGTCTTACGCACGCCTCGATGTAGGAAACAACCGAAACATAAAAACATATTATCATATTTCATTTTTATTAAGTTTTTATTATTGCTTTTCTTAATCGTTGTTTACTTTTTCCGCACGGTCATTATGTATAGTTTTCATTGCGGTCACGCACGCCAAGCCTGAACGGATCGCTGTGCAGCCCTTACAGCAGCCTAAGTCGCAAGGTATGCCATATGTCACTTAGCACAGCACACTCTCGACAAGTATTTCTGGTATCACTTCTCCCGTTACCACTTCTCGGCGATGCGTGCTCTCGCTCTGTTAGGTACTTGCGGCTCTATTTCGATTTTTATCGATCCGACAAATAGAAAAATGAAAACTATCGAGACATTGTTCGGATTGTGTGCTCTTGTTAAGCTAATATAAGATATTTTTACTAGCAAAACAAGATGATTTTAAAAATCTATTGCGTTACTTATCATTTTAGTTTAAGGTAAATGTACTAGTTAATGAACATGAACCAATGTTGGACAAACTAATATAACATTTCAAATATAAAACTTTTGATGGTATGTACGATTCTAAATTAATTCGCAATTAAATTTTTATAAACAACAAATTTATTTAGAGTTATACATATCATTGAAAGCTTAGTATTTACAATTTTGTACCACTTTGTCCAACAAATTGAGTCATATCTATTAACTGTCTACTAACTGGTACACTTACTGGTACCTTAATGATTCTGTCGTTTTCTAGAGTATATAAATATAATGTAAACAAAGAAAGAAATTTAATATATTAAAAAAAATTTTTGGGATTTCTCAAATATGTTAATATAAATGCTTTCTTGACAGAGCGTTGCTCGTTTTGCATGATTTTTTTCTTCTATACAAAGTGCGTCAATAACTCGAATATACAAGAATGTTAGTTCCTTTTAAAAAGACTGAGTTTTGAATATAAATTAATTTTTTATTTTTAAAAGACTTAATTTATCCAATTTTTCTTATGCACTTTGTATAATTGATAGTAATATTCAGACGGAAAATGCAAGCTACATCACATGCGTGATAAAATACATTGATTGCCTCAGTATTATCCCGCACGAACTGGAAGCCCCGGCCTGATCCTGCGTGAATACGGACGACCGGCGGAAGATGTATCTAGGATTTATACTTACTCGTATTTGACTGAAACGCCCAGTCAAGGATATCTGAGACGTCCGATACAGCCGTACGATAAACCCCCCACTAGCCCGCATTTCCACAGACCTAGCTGTAAGTTTTCTTTAAATAATTTATTAGATATTAATAGGATTATATAAATTAGATATTAATAAAATTACAAAAATAGTTATATATACACAATTCTACAACAATTAAATATAGTAATTCCGTTGACATCTTGAGTATCAGGGACAAAAATTTTATAATTTGTATAGTTTTTATATCAATTTTTTAAAAATATTGAATTTTTGATGAAATATTTAAAAAAAAGAATTTGTTTTAAATTTTAAAACTTTTAATGCTATATATCGTTTGTTTTGCTGCACAGCATCTCGTTCGATAAGAAGCAGCGGTGGACGCAGCAGCAGATCGGGAATGAGAGCTTTGGTCGACGCGTTAAGCGACACCCGACCGAAATCGCCAGCAAGCCAGGTGGATAATGATGAGCCGATAGAATTAGCGCATTATCCAGACGCCATGAAACCACCCCCAGGGGCTCAACCACCAATCGAGAGAGACGATTTCCCCGCTCCGCCGTATCCTTACACTGATCCTGAAAGACGTAGACGATGGTCCGACACTTATAAGGTATTATCTTATATTTAATCTACGAAATGATATAACATTACTTTTTCCATTAATATTTTAATGATACTGAACAGTGAATTAACGTTTCAATCTTTTTTAATTCAGGGAGTACCTGCATCCGACGACGAGGATGAAGTGGATAACAAAACATATATCAAGGAGGCGGAGCAAAAATTGAAAAAGGAGCAGGACGAATTGAGCAAGATCGACACGGGGATAGCTAAGGTATTCCTTCAAGATCGCGAAAAAGATCGAGAGAATTTGAGACATAGAGCTGCGAACGTTGATCCTAGAAATGCTTCGAGGACACCGTCTGCCGCCAGAGAGCCAACGTATCGATTGCGCTATGAGAGTCCAGTTGGTGCATGTGAGTTACAACAACTAACTTCGTATTTTTAATGTTTAGACTTAAATTATTTAGCTTGTCTCATTCTATTTAATATCTTGAGAAGAGGACATATTGCTCTTAAATTTAAATTTGAAAACGTATGGACAGTGTCATTTAATATACATTTATGTAAAAGATAATTCGAAAAACATTTTGTGCAGCACCTTCACGAAATATCGATCATGCACGGCCTTGGGAGGATGACGATGGCTTCAGCTACAGATCCAGCGGTCCTAGCTACAACGGTAAGTTTTTGATCATCACGCGACACCACGTATTTGTTTCATTAACATAAGTAACGATCATCTCATACATGTCCACACGTTCGCACATGACACTAACATACCACTCTACCGTTTAAAGTAACATGGATTAGAGAACACTGTGAGTCTCGATAGAGCGGGGTTTCCCAGGGCGGGCGGTCGTAAATGGTCCCATTTTGTCGATAAAAAAAGAAACGTTTGCTTTATGGAGTACGACCGAATTGGCCAATGCAAACCAAAGGGGTGGGTTTCATGCTAATTAACAAACGGTGATAACAGTACGTGACACTTGAAGGCAGGATTTTAAGTGGCGTGTGTAGCACCAAAAAACCATACACTGGACGCCCAATTAATACAACAGGTGATGTATTCTGCCTATGCATGTTGTCGTCCCTTACTTCGATGTGCTTGCCTTATCATTTTTTTTTTTTTTCATCGAACTGCGAACGGCGCATCTACCAATACCTCGAAATAACGGGCAATTAAATCGCCATTGCGATCTTTAGATCTGGAAATCGTTTCTCGAGGTAATTGATCCTGTTCTACATATATCTTGCATGATACTTGGGACCACGAAATTCATTATACACGGACACATTGTTCCAATGCACATCACTCTCATTTCCGTGGCACAATAGTACTTTTAGATAGAATTTAAACTGAACTTCAAATTGAACTTAAAATATCTATTTTTTCTCTCTGTCATATCTTTTTTTTAATCTCTTCTGTATGCTTTGGTAAGATTTAAATCGCTTTCGTAATTATTCTATTTAAATTTAATTAAAATTATTACAGATGACATTTATTATAGATGATTATTTTTAATTTCTTATTGTTATATTTGCAATATGAACAATTTTTATGTTAAAATGCTTTTTTAAGAAGAGTTAGTTTTCAGATATTTGTTTGAAATCTTATTTACAATATTGGAAGATAATTTGGCAACGCGAATAGTTTTGTTTTTTTTACGCATGATAATTATTTCTTTTATGCACCGCACATCTTTGCTTTCTGACAGATATACAGAATTCTGCTTTATGGTATCTTCCAATGTTGAGTCACTAGTTAATTTTAGAACGCTAATATGGAACGTTTGTCAACTAATCCAATTTTGTGTAAAAAGATTGCTGTTATGAATTATTTTAATAAGAGAATCGTAATCAATACTATTTAAATTAACTGGCTAATTACAACTTTTATTAATTACGTATCGAAAAATTTAACGACAGAATCTTTCTGATTATATCTTTGTAAAAGTTATGAAGAAATCTGTCTCCCAAAATCGCTAATAATTTCAAGTTAGCGTTCTAGATTTAATAGGACACGGTATGTTAGTCACACGATGCTATTACCTGTCGTCTACTATCATTGTGTCTCTATTTGTGTTTTTGTGTTTGTGTTGTGTTTGCGTGGGCGGCAGTTGGGAGGTCATCGGCGCGCTCCCCGGCTCCTAGAAACTATCCACCCCTTGGTACTCAACGCGCCTTCACTCTTCCAAACGCCACTAGACACTATCATTCGGTGAGTCCGAAAACTTTCCAATTCGCCCGCCGTTGGTCCCAAGTCAAATCAAATCCATTTTTAAGTTTCATTTGTAAATTTTCCCACTCACCAGTTCAATTTTTCTATATATTTTTAAAAAATTCAGTATTATGATAATATCACCTAATTATTTTTACGTGATTAAGAACTACAAATTATGCACGTGTAAATTAGGCATGTAAAATGTTATTTACTGATGAAGAATTCATCAACTGTCTTGATATTGGAACAACGATCATCTTAAATTGAGATTTTTGATAAGAATAATTTATCTGCAATTTTTTTATTTATAATTTTAGATGCATCCCATACAGTGTATAATAATATATTGAACCACATATATTTTTGTCTGCGTTTTTAGTAAGAAAGGAAAGCTTTTGACTTGTCATCACGGCGGGCGCGCTTACGAGAAGAGTATTGTACTTACACGCAGGTGCTGGCTTTTTATGTATCTATTTTTTTTTTAAATCGCGAATATATATATTGCCTCATACACTCTATTTAATGAGAGTGTACGCTTTGTGCACTCGAAATCTATCGGATATCTTTAAGCGCCATTTGCCGATGGGAATGCGATATATTTGAAATTATTATTATTATTATTATTATTATTATTATTATTATTATTATTATTACAGATATCCTTTGTTACACGCGATGAAATTTAAGACGATTAGATTCTGTAGGATAGATTTAATAACACGATTGATGCATACTTTTTCCTAGATATTTATTCTAAAGATGTATATTTTTATTTTATTACTAATTACATAAAAGATTATATGTATATATAAAATACAAGTACAGAAAAATTGAACACTGTAATAGAAATATATCGCATGTATATCGACGGATATCTGTCTTTTTAAATCTATTCGGATCCATGAGAAACATTATAGAAAATGCGATGTTCCAAGTATATCATTGTTGAGGCGCAGAGATAGGGGGAAATCCCTTAACATTGGTTGATCTTGGGGACATATAAGGGAGCGACATGGCTCCGGGTAGAGTTAACGAATACAAAAAAAATCTGGCAAGCGAACGTGGGGCATTCGTATGGGAGATTGAGCGAATTGAAATCACCGCTGATACTAATCAGTAACACCTGTCGATTGACTGATTTGCAAACCAGTTGTGAGCTCCCTTCGGCACATCCCGAAGCCGGGGTACGGTCTGGCACCGCGAAGTCACACCTTCTCCTCGACCGGCGGTTCCGTGTCTGCTCTCCCTGTAAGTCTTGCACCGCAAGTCACAGTCGGCGATGCGACGTGCACCGCGCTGATAGTGCAATAATACGTATATAGAAGAAGTATACATAGAGTCAACTCCGCGGCAGCCGAGCGGAACACGCCTCTCTAAGATAACGCTTTTCTGTCGTCTAGGGCGACTATTCGTTCAGCGGGATGGGCGACAAGACGCACAGCACTGATTTCTCGTCTGGCAAGTCGGACAGTGAGTAAAACGAGAGGGATCGACCTACGCCGGTCCTCTGCACAGACTAGTTCTCTCTCACCTATTTCCATCACGCTTCTCAAGCTTGACGCGCTCGCAAATTAGACAGTTGGTGGTTATGCAGTGCTATCGTGAATCTATCGAGGATTTCTTTCAGCCTCGAACTAAAATTGCACTAAACAACACTGATTTAAGACGTTTTGATACGTCTGGCAGAACAGAACTCCTTAGGTTCAATCTGCAGTATCTTGATGATAAAAATTTTATATATATTTAGCATTTCTCTTTGTTTTTTGTATTAAGTCTTTTGGTCTCTCTAATTTAAAATTAATTTTAATAATTTTAATAAAGTTTGCTTAAAATTAACTGAAATTTAATTTACAAAGAATTGTGTCTATATAATTCAGAAATTACTGTGTTGATAATTTTTATAACGAATTTAGCTTTTACGAGAGTTTATATTTTTAAAAAGATACATGGTTCCCGAGACATTTCAAGATTTTACGCATTGTCTCGTCACACATAATTCGTGATGGAACTGCTGGCGATTTTTGTAAGTGCGTCACTGCTACCTTATCATTTTCTTCATACACTACGTTTTTTTGCCTTGTTCTCGCATGCTTTACTAACATCCCTGCGAGCTATCGCACTGTCACTGTGAAACATTGTACGTCGTACATTGGCCTGTTGTACATTGTCACATAACGTTGTTTATTTAAAGAACTGTAATAATGACACTTATTTGATTATAAATTGTGAAATTAATAATCAACTACGGTATATATATATTAATTTCTTTTATTGTTAGATCAATAATCATGCTGAAGTAATGAGAAAACAATATGATAAATTATATTAATCCAGGAAATATCAAAGGAAATATCAGAAATGGAGATGTCGACACTCAGTATGTTTTGTGTTTGACTATATAAATAAGAATTATAATTACAATATCATATCTTTCGACTCCTCAAATAAAAAAAAATTATGATCTTCAGTTGATACATTCTTACAGACAAGCCTTCTGTAAATCTGGAAGTTTTGCAGTAGGCTTATTAAATTATAAAACAATCATGTGTGTCCCCAGCATTACCTCTATTACGTCTATTTTTAATTACATAGTCGTGTTGCGCTGCTTTACGCATTTTTTCACATATAAATTGTAAAATGCGTAGGCAGGTAATGATAGAGGGAAACATGATTGATGAAAAACAAATTGTAGTTAGCATAGGAAATGGTTTGTGCAACATGGTTTGATATGGTTTTCTTTCACATTTTTCCCAATTTTAGTATCAACAGGCAGCATCACGGATGTGGACCGACGGGCATTGGTATGTACCACAGCCCCATACTACTCCCGGAGAATTAGCATGGTTTGTAGCTTGTTTTTGCATCTGTATCATACTAGAACTCCATTTATCGGAACGATTTCGATTTATATTTATTTAAATATCTCTTTCTACATTAAATTTGAAATTATTTTTTAATGTAGATTATAAGTTTTTTCTTAAAAAAAAATTACCAATTTTATAAGATAATTTCATAAAACATCATTAAGTAAATTTTAATTCGTTGAAAGAAAAATAATTTTTTTCTAAAATTTTAATGGCAAAAAATTCATTGAATACTTTTTTTTAATTACTCTAATAAATGGAGTTTATGCAAATGTAATTTTATTTAACATTTTAGCACGTCTATAATTGCAGATGTGTTGCATTAAATGCACACATTCGTCTAGAGAAACAAGACAGTTCGTACGTTTGAAAAATTTACGATATGTATATGCATATTATTTGTACTTATTTGTATTATTTGTATGATTATATTTGATTTGCTACTTGTCCTTATTATGATAAGATATTGTGTATATAATGCTGTATAATGAGTATGCATGCATGCTGTATATTTTGCTATTATTTTGAGTTTTGCATTTTTTATCAACTGTATTTATTTTTAATTTGCTCTATGTTTCATATTCGATTTATCATAAGAGTTCTCCACCTTTTAATTAGTTAAGTTAATTAATCGAACTACTCTTATCCGATTTGCACTATTTAGCTTTATGAACAAAATGTGTTATTTTATTTCTTTTTCTTATTTTAATATAATTTATTTTGCAAAAAATTTTAATTTTGTAAAATGGAGATAATTGAATTTTTTCTGTGGAGCTTTGAATAAATTATATAACAATTCTTTCGAAAATAACAGGAAATAGATACCATCGTATAGCAATTTAATGCAATATATATATATATACTTCTATATTATAATATTATACTATGAAATAATAACTTTTTATGAAAACAGATTATTTAACATTACCATATGTCATTGTTAACAATAATTTGTTTAAACTATAAGATGGCTACTTACCATAAATATTTCACGTATTAAAATGTATATATGTAATATTTTTAATAGAAAAGCATATTTTTTTATACGAAACGATTTTTCCATTAAGAGAAATGCATGTATGGTATATACATTATTTGCACTTGAAAGATTATAGGTGTACAGCATTGTTTATAGAATTAAAAAATTGTATATAGTACGTAAATTTAGAAAAAAATTAAAGTGTTTGCTAGATGCTTCAATCTATTTTGATTAAAAATTAATTCTCTCTATATTCTTATACTCTAAATATTAAAAGAACGAAAAACGTTGAAACCCAAAGCAATATAATTTTAGTAATTAGAGATTGATTAATTGATATTGAAGCAGTCTATTGAGTCATACGAATTCGTACGTGTATATATACATATATATATATATACTCACAATCTGCTGTCAGATTATGTCAGCAGACTCTGCTCGGTTTTTGCTATCAATCTGCTGGCAAAACATGTCAGCAGACGTTGTTAACAGTTTAGCAGCAATTTGCTGACAATATCTGATAATACAGACTCTGTCTACAATTTGTTGTCAATCTGCAATGAAAAATTGTCAGCAGACTCTGTTCCAAATCTGTTTCCGCAGACTTTGTTATCGGGGTATATATGAGGAATTTGTTAATCATATTATTCTATTATTATGCAGCGAGAATATAACAGTTTTATAGTGTGTAATGAATGTGTTTATTGTAAAAGGACATGGACAAGAATACTTTTGGGGGATGCATGACACTGAAAATTTTTAATTGATGTACGTTTGAAAAGATCTTATTGCATTTTACGAGTTTATTATCAAATTTATATTTGACATCGGGTTATGAATCTTTCTTCATTCAAATTTGTCATGCTTCTCTAAGAATTCGAAGAATGCAAATGCAACCCCTTACACCTTTCTCGCATCGTCCATGTTATTATTGTATTCACATCTGTTTCTGCTAATGTTATTCATAATTTTATACGATTATGGCGCAGAATGATGGTGGAATCCTTCCATCGTCCACCACGTATACCGGTGGCCTAGGTTCGGTTGTTGGGGGCCACGGGGGTCATCACGTAAGAAGATCGCTGCCAGACATGGGAGCTGCACCAACCGAACCGCCCAAACTTTATCCCTACCATTTACTTGTTATCACCAACTACAGGCTGCCAGCTGACGTGGATCGTTGCAATCTCGAGGTGAGTACTAGCTGTGAGCACCAACATTGTTTAATCGCTTTATTTATAAGTTATGAGGTTATTATACCTACGGTACTGTCATGTGATAATTTTTTATTTTTAAGAATAATATTCTTTGTTGTCTCTCTTTCTTTTCATTGCATTATTATTGAGCTTAATTGTGTGATATATTAATGATACAATAACGTGAAAATAATCCGAATTTTTTTTCAGCGACACCTCTCCGATGCAGAATTCGAAGCTGTTCTACAGTGCTCTCGATCGGAATTCTACAGACTGCCACAGTGGCGTCGCAATGAAATCAAAAGACGTGCCCGTCTCTTTTAACTCATGTCACATCTTTTGCTTAATACACATCGCGTTGTGTCGCGATTGCATTACTGCGGTACGGGACCGTACATTCCTACTGCGTGGGTAGATGTATCGCGGGGAAAAAAATGTGTTCGACAACCATTGCGACCATTCTATTCTGCTGATTGACGTGCGCTCGTTAAAATAAACGTCCTCTAGATTAGGGCGCACGCAACATACGCAGACGCATACGCACACGAATACACAATGTAATGATGCGGAAGCACTGCCACTTGTCGTCAATTTTTTTCTCGCAGCAACGAATCCACAGGCAGCTTTATCTATGACCCGATTTATTTAGCGATGTAGTCGTTTTGAGGTTCCATTTCGGAGCTCTATCGCGCGACTTGTTTTCACTCATATACGTTGACGAATATGCAATGGTGGCTGATATTAACATAGGGGAGAAGATAATCAAATAGAAAAAAATTATGATTAAAACTCTTAATACAATTTACTATTGTAAATAAGAAGTTAATCGAGAAGTCGAAAAAGCGGCGTGGAGGAGCAGCTAGGATATTTCAAAGTACATAACCGCGTATTTGCTAAATCGCATACATACATATTAATCTTTGTGGAAGATTATGACGCAAGGAAAAAAAACGCTACTATATGTAGGATTTATCATTATTAATTTTTAACTACTATTAATATTATGATTATTTACTATGTGCAACCTGAAGAGTTAAGAATAGGTGAGCCCAGCTTGCTGAATGGTGCGATTGCACTGGATTAATCGAACGAGTTGCGTGTGATTTGTCACTTTTTAACTTACTCTACGACACAAGGATTATTTTATAAAGTAGTTTACGCGCAAATACGATGTCTTGTGTGAGGAGATATCAATTTGTCTTTATCCTTTTAATTATCCTTGATGTGTTAACTAAAGAAACGCTCTGCGGTGCGGATTGCGATAGACTTCTATAATTACTCGATCACTCTACATTAGAGTATAAATAAGAAGATCAGGACCAAATTTATAGTTGTGGTGGATCTAGCAATAACAGGAAGTATGTTTTAACTATAAATGGATTTATTATCATATTCAATTCATATAGCAATTTTCACAATATTTTGGAAGTAGCGTAAAACAAGTTTTGAAAATCGCGTATTTATATTCATCTATTTGGGTAGTGATTTTTTAAATTTTCTAAAGGAAACAGCTCATTTTTATAGTTTCCAAAATAAAAACGTATAAAAAAAGTTTTTCTAAAAAAAATAGAAGTAACTATTATATGTGTGATATTATATAATAAATAAGTATTATATGCTGCATACATATAATATTTATAAAAATTTAAATCTTTATAAATATATCAAAAGTTTTTATAAATAATGTACTTATTATATTTACAAGACATTTTATAAATATTAAATATTATAAAATATATAAAAATTTATAATACTTCAAATTGAAGAAAGAGGTGTATTTTGTGCGAAACACGCATAAATCACTTTTATCACATATCTTATATTTCAAAAGTTATTTCATGCTATTTTCAGAATATGTATATATAACGCGATAATTTTACCAGTGATTACTACTGATTAAGTAAAACTTTTAATTTTATGGATACATGCAATGATTGTCCTCCACCCTTAAATTAGGTCCTGCACAGAATTAAAAAAAAAGTTTCGAAGTTAATAGCCGAAGCAGTTAAGCTGATATTGGACATACACGCGTCCAATAAATATAGTCCGATTTATGCGCAAAGCGAATGATGTTAAATTTTCATATACATATAAGTGAGAAATACGATGTATCAAAATTCTGACTGTTATGCCGTATGATTATTATATGTAGATGAGTTTACTACGTATTCGAATATACATGCGTGCAATAAAATTGACACGCTTCGTTCGAACAAAGTCATCAAATTATACTTTACTACGGACGCGAGTGCGACATTTTGTCAAATCAGCTACGTTTTATTATTCACATATTTCGCCCCCTTATCTTAAGTCATGTGCCTAACAAATAAATGTCGTGGGACGTTTCATGCGAGGAAGAGAGGAATCGTTAATCTTACAAAGCGTTTCACGTACGTTTGTGTAAGACTTATAATTCCTACCAAGGCATCCTGAATTCTTTCGGAGCGATGATCTTACACAAGCGTTTTGGATCTTTGTATTGCCTTGAGTGATAGCTTCGTCACGAAGAAAATCTGACGTGCTCCATGATCGCTGACGTATGTTACTTCAATGTCATTTAAGATCGACACGGCTGTAACTTTCCTTTATTTTTTTTTTTTTCTTATGGATATATCTTGCTCGCGTAAACACATTCGTGTAATCCCTTTTGTTTAAATTTTACGTACTGTTAATTTTGCATACGATCGATATTCTTGATCATGGCGCAACGTTATTGTCCCCACTGTGCAATGCGAACCAATGTATGTTTCTGTTGTATAGAGCACATTGCTTCCGCTAGTCCCTAAAGTTAAATAAATGCAAAACATACGAACGAACTAACAAAGTTATTATCATTATTTCGTTAATTATCAAGCAGCTTATATCCTGCAGTAAAGGCTACGCGCACAAGACTCATTTCCTGATCAGTTTCATGTAGCTCCGCAAATACATCTTTTCATTCCCGTTTGCTTGATATTGCCTTGCTTTGGCAAAAAAATTCGTGTAATTCAAAAGTTAACAGAAAAGAAACCACTACAGAACGTCAAACTCGGAGCTTCTCAACTCGCTGCAGTCTGCTGTAAAAAATTCACACGTTAGATAGAAGCGCCGCAGGATATAAGACTAACACGAAATTACTTTTTCACGAAGAATTACGAAACCCTCCAGCACGTTGGAGAGCGCCTCGTATTGATCCGACACTAATTCCGCCTTTTCGCCCATGCACAGCAACACTGGTGTGGTTTGTACGTGACCGCCGGAAATGGATTTCGGATTACCTGCTTTCCCCACAACATCCACGCTTTGACCGATTCTTACAGACACCGGCAAATTCTACAAAGTATTGACAATATCATTTATAAACCTAGAATATTTACACCCTACAAATGATAATTAGATCTTATAGCTGATTTTGATAATCTCTCCTTGTGTACCGTAAGATTTTCATCGACAGTAACCAGCCACCTTGGTTCCATCGCGATCGCCAAGCAGTATATTAAATAATGAGACTGAGATAATATGAGATTCCTGCAATCTAAACATGCAACGAGGACGACCATCAAACCAGCCAGAGCGGTGTAATCTAAAATTTTCGAAGAATACCGCAAAGGCGATAAAGATAAAGTGCCCTAAAAGAAAAAATACATGAGAATACAACTTTTTTAAAGGAAAGAACGATCATTGATAAGTTTTCATATTTCTATATCAAGGACAGATGAGTTGATTCATCAGAAATAAATTGTTACTTTATTAATGTTGTTATTTAATTGTAAACATTTTTATTGGCCCGACTTTATCGAGGCCTTTACCTTGCCCAGGTGCACCAAACCCTGAGAGATGCGCACAAGGAATAGGTGAGACGGATTCTTCGCGTAATAAGCTGCCAGCTGTCTCAACATCGTCGCCAATCGCGCGTTGTTGGTACCTGCGCCTACCAAACCAAGAGCGAAGATCGCATTCAGAGCGACATCGGCGTCATGGTCGTGGCTGTATTTGTTCAGCACGTCCACGACAGCTGGGTCAGCATTCGACAAAGAGGATAAAGCTAATGCGAGAGGCATAGCGCATCGCGCCGGCGTTGACCCATATCTTCCAACCTATGATTTGTTAAGCATCGTAATCGTAGCAAGGACTCAAGGGACCACAAAAGTCGTTCCCATAATAAATATTAATCAAAGTCGATTACACTTTTAACTGATCTTCCGCTTCTAGTTCTACGTCATGAAAAGAGAGTGTTAAATCGCTATGAATGAATTATAGGAACTCATAAATTACCGCTAATTAAGGTGAATTGAGATTTAAATGTTTCTTTGTCTTCCGCCTTAGGTAACTATAGGAGCGTCCTCGTAAATATTCATCACGGTTTGAGATCTTATACGAACTTAATCTTCTTACCTGACCAAAGATCCGGGAATTCTCCTTTCCCTCTCCAAGTCCAACTACACCTACCCCAAGGGATGCTATGGCTTGTGGACTTCCAATACCCCTGATATTAATACAATACAATTATTTTTTAATTATAATTATTTAGCACTAATATGTAGAAACAAAAAATTAATTTTTTTTTTTTTCAAATTATATCTATGTGAAAAAATTACTCTCTTATTTATAATATATTCTTAATTGCTATTTATTAATGTCTTTTTTATATTTTTACTTTTAGTGATACGCTTACTTAGTAGATTCCTCGATTTGACTGTCGTCCTTTTTTTTCTTTTCTAGTTTAGAGCTTTGTAGTGTTTTTTGATCGCAGCAACTTGGTATCGGAGTATTCTCAGATGTCGTTTTTGCGCTCATTACTTCCTCGATTGTTTCTGAACAGATCCTTAATAATTCTTGCACTATCAATACATCACCAGTGCCCGCGTATGCACAAATCTAATAGAATTGTTTTATCAGATTTAAATTATATACGTTACTTTTCGGAGAAGTTACGTAATTCTAACACCCGTGTGAAGCTGGCCCCCCAATATTAAAAAATCGATTTTTTCTTCATGCTTTCGTTTGCTCATCGTTTGCTCACGAATGCTCAGTTGGAATTTTCGTTTGCTCACCCTTAATTCAAAAGGTATACGAAAATTATGTTTTTGGGGGTGCCAACTTCACCCTAGGCCCCCAATATTAAAAAATCGATTTTTTAATATTGGGAGGCCAGCTTCACACGGGTAATTCTAACTACCTCTCGCTGGTTGGATTATGAAAAAGTTTCATAGAGATTGTATTTGAATTTTCAAGAAAATTATAACAATTGAATTTTACTTGTAGCATAGTTTGCGAAGCAAAATTATACGGTTCCGGTAAAGCCTCCAGGGCTGCGGATGGTGTTTCTATAGCATCTCGAGTTCCCATGTAAATCATTCCTAGGGCTAACGCCAAAAATCTGCGTATAACAAAAATGACTCCTATATTGTATATACATTTACGTATAACATTTATAATATTATCTACGTATATATGACTTTTACATTATCCATAAATATAATAACATATAATTATACCTGGAATGCGTAATAACGAGCTCTTTTATAGATAGTCCCAATAATTTTAATAAGATTGCCGAAGATACATCGGAATTTCCCGAGCCTACATTCACAAGACCCAAAGAAATGGCAACCAGTGACAACACTTGTATATTATCTGAAAGAAATTATTTTGTGACAATTAATTGCTTTTATCCCTTTGTAGATAAAAAATTTTAATTCGACTCGTATAAATATTATATGTGTATAGTAAAATATAACAAAATATGAGAAAAAAAATTTCGTACAATTTAAAATGTTAAAGATTATCTTTAATTTTTTTTTCATCATTAAAGAAGAGTTTACTTATTTTTTTTTTTTAAAGTAAACTGGAATGAAGAAAATAAATAAAAATTATATATAATAAAATTGCATTACTTTGCTCATCAGCTAGAGCTCCAGAAAGAAGTTCGGTAACGTCTTTTCTTCTGGAACCAGCGTAAGCCAGACCTAAACCCATGATGGCTCCTATGCGAAGGATTTGGCTGTTTGATTTTACATATTCGCTGAGAAGTGCCAAAGCCGGATCGCATTCATTACGGATTCCGCAATTTACTAGTCCGATTGCTAGCAAGGCACCAGATTTCACGTAATCTTCATTTGTGTAAAGATATCTAAGTAAATAACAGAATCATGTAAGCAAGCTCAAAAATTATTTTTTAATTCTATTAAGGGGTAACGCCACTCTAGAATTTACAAAAAATCGATTTTTTACATTTAAATGATGCCTTACAGTCTTAAAAATAAAGTTCCCGTAGCGCGGAAAAATTTTTTAAGTACTTATTTTGAAACTACCTCTACGCGGTGCGTCACCGTTCGTTCTATAATCCGATGGGTAAGCTGCTCCGAATTTCACGTCTTTTTTCGAGCTCTAGAGTGGTGTTGCCTCTTAACGACTTATAATTTTATTATATTTTTTTCCAAAGAAA